AAAGTTAGAATATTGAACTTTTCGTATCAGCTTCTACGCTCTATAAATACCGTTCCCGTTGTGAATGTCGCCGTGGACGATGCCACTCGGGGCAGCGTTGAGAACCTGTTCTAATCTCGGTTGTGAAGGATTTAGTTGACCCTGACCAGCAAGCGGATCGGGTGGCCAAGCCATTCCGATACACATTCTTATTACTATACATCGTATTTTAGCACGTAGAAAACTTCTACGGTATTTCTTGCGTGGGGATGAGCCGACTTACAACACATGAAGAACCTCCACAGCAGTCGGTTCGGAAAGAACTCGACCCCAGTTTCTCCCGCTTTCCTTATGAGTTCCCACAGTGTTCCATTCTCAATCCACTCTAGGTATATCCAGTCAGGAGCAATACTTTCTCGCTCGTATTGAGGGGCTTGTAGCAAAGGATCCCGAGGCAATTCCGGGAAAGTTACGAGTTTGACAAAATGCTCAGCCGACCTCATAGCCTGCTACCGTGTCAGCTACTTAAAGGTATTTTATATTATAAAAGGGAATATAACATATAAAAACCCCTTCTCGTTGGCTAAGGAATCTGTGCTTGAGAATTCATTGGCGGGGATCCCATCGCTTGAGAACTCCGCTCCGGGGGTGACGACTCTCTCTTGCACGGCAGGTTTCTGTGTCTTCACTAGGACATCCCGCATCCGAACAGGTCCCCACTGAGAGCCATCGCCTATTCGGTATTGTAGTTTCCAAGTTAGGGAATAGGTACCAGCGGCGACAAAACGTTGAAGCTCAATCGCAGCCGCCTGTGTGGCGGCATTTTCGAAATATTCACGAAGGTATTCCTCCGTTTCTGCGACACGACGAGACATTTTAGAGAAAAATTACCAATATACACCTAATCGGTGACATATTACCAGATATATGCCATGAACAACCACATTTCATGCTCGTTTGGGGGCATACATTGCATCCTACGTATGTACAGATAATGAAATTGAAGATGATGACATTTTGCGTCCGAAAACGGTCTATGAACTTTGGTAATTAATACCCTTTGACACCATATTCTTTGGCAACCTACCTAGGTACCTACCTTGTTCATTGTCATATTCAACCCCGTTGAAGATAATGGAGGAGGGGGACAATGATAGGGGTTTATGTACTTAGGTATATACATACATGTAAGTATGTATTGAGGAATAATACTATAATGTACGCATCTACCTACAATGTAGGTAGCCAGGTAGTCTTATAGAGGTACAATAGTACCGAGTGCCTTAATATTGAACCTCTATGCAAAGTTAGGCAAGATAGCAAGAATACAATGACTTATAATGTGATGGACGCATTCGTGCAGACTGTCCGTCCGTTGTGAAGTTGACTTAGACCGGAAGAGCAAGCTCCTTTCTTAAAGATTTAAAAGGTCAAAAATAGTATCTGTCCGAACGGTCTGGCCAGACCCCTTTTTTAGCTTCACCATCAGCCAATGGTTCGCCGTTGCTGAGGTACAAGCGGCTGTACAGCTGGCGGCACAGCTGGCGGCGCAGTTGCCGATGCAACCCCTGTACAGCGGCCCTAGCCAAATTGCAATTCAGCCAAATTCTCCTAATTGCCAAGCACGCACGCCGCAACCCTGCCATCTATGTACATGATCCTCTCAAACGGGCAGCTTGCAAGGCATTCATGATTACCTAGGCCGGTGGTTTTTTGTCCTTCTTTTTTCGTTCGAGTTTTCGATACCCCGATGAATCTTCACACCAGAGTTATCCAAGGTGAGTACAAGGAATATAGGAAATACGAGAAAGATCAGAAGGAAAACAACAACGGGGTTAAGTTCTGCATCGCTAACCCGTCAGCCTTCCTGGAATCACAAGTCCACGTCCCGGCACCAATGGCTCATGCGATCACGATTGCATCCACGTCGCCATACATAACCGATACGTGAATTCGGCTCCTCCGCGAAGCGAAAAGCGTTCGTGCCGGGCCCTTTTCTCGGATCACCAGCCATGGCGCCGCCATTCCTTAAGAGCATCCCGCGGCGACGACGGTTCCTCGTGATCCCGCTGCTGTTGCTGCTGATCTGGGCCTTACTCCCGACTGCCAGGTTGAATTCTCCAACATCACTGTTTCACGCTATCAAGGGCTCACCAGGGAAATATAGCGACGACATACTGCGATTCATCAACCCTCTTATCGGCACTGTGAACGGAGGTGAGTTGGGAAGATCAGCTGAATCTACGGTTTACTCGAGGACTTTTACTAAGACTATCCTTAGGCCATGTCTTTCCCGGCGCAACTCTGCCATACGGTATGTGTCATTCGAGGGGGGCGCGGATCTGAAACTATTGTCTGATCAATTATCCAGGCATGGCGAAAGCCGTGGCGGATGCAACCACCAATGCCGAGATAGCCGCCGGATTCGTCTCGGACGACTCGAAGATCCAGGGCTTTTCTCACTTGCACGATTCAGGTAAGTCAGAACCCAGCTCATCTCATTTGCACATCTTGCTAACTTCTCACAAGGCACTGGAGGAGTGAGTTGACCGCATCCATTAATCGCGCAGATCTAACTAGCTATAGAGCCCCTCGCTGGGGAACTTCCCCCTATTCATGCACCCCGGATGCCCTGATGATGACTACTCGAAGTGCGAATTTACGTACATAGGGCGAGCAGTCGAAAGGGTGGAAGGCTCCGCAAAAGCACGACCGGGGTACTTCGCCATTAGCCTCAACAACTCGGTACACGCTGAGATGACGGCCACCGAGCACACCACGTTGTACACGTTCAGCTTCCACATGTTGCCCGAGGTGGAGTCGCACGGCGTCATGGTACCCACCAATCCGCTGGTCCTTATCGACCTGATCGACCTAGGCGTCTCCCGAACCGGCGGCGACATCGAGGTCAACTCGCAGACGGGGAGAATCGCAGGAAACGGCTCCTTCGTGCCATCATTCGGAAGCGGCGCGTACACGGCACATTTCTGCGCGGACTTCAGTGGAGCTGAGATCCGAAAGACCGGCACCTTCTTGCACACTAACGCGACGGACGAGGTCAATGCGATCGGCAACTTGGGGAGCGACTATTACATCCCGTCCGGTTCGGCAGGTGCCTGGATCCATTTCGCACGCCCGAAAACGCACCAGATCAAGGCGCGTGTCGGCCTGTCATTCATATCCGTGGAGCAAGCGTGCCATAACGCCGAGACCGAGATCCCGGACTTCGACTTCAACAAGGTGGTGAAGGCGAGCGAGACGGCTTGGAGGGACAAGCTATCGGTAGTCCAACCCGACTACTCGGGCATGAGCCTCGAGTTCGTGACCACGTTCTGGTCAGGTCTGTATCGCGCGATGATCTCGCCCCAAGACTACACTGGAGAGAACCAGCTATGGAACTCCACTGAGCCGTACTATGATTCCTTCTACTGCATCTGGGACTCGTTCCGAGCCCAACACCCTCTACTCACCATCATCGACCCCGCGGTGCAAACTAAGATGGTACGATCCCTGATCGACACGTACAAACACGAGGGCAAGCTGCCAGACTGCCGCATGAGTTTCAGCAAGGGCTACACGCAAGGCGGGTCCAACGCCGACGTGGTGCTGGCCGACGCGTTCGTCAAGAACCTAACAGAAGGCATCGACTGGGCCCTGGGGTACGAGGCGGTGGTATCGGACGCCGAGGTCGAACCCAAGGACTGGTCGACGTCGGGGCGCGGGGACCTGGTGAGCTACCACACCCTAGGGTATGTGCCGTACGACGACGTAGACCGAAACGGGACAGGACCCATGAGCCGCGGGATCTCGCGCACGGTGGAATACGCATACGACGACTTCGCCATCGCGCTGATGGCGAGAGGCCTGGGCCACAGCACCGACGAGGCCAAGTATTTAGGCCGGGCGCGCAACTGGCGCAACCTGTTCAACGCGGCGCAGGAGGACCGGTATCGCGACGAGGAGGGCAGCGTGCGTAAGACGCAGTTCACGGGGTTCCTGCAGCCGCGATACCGCAACGGGACGTGGAAGTACCAGAACACGCGCCTGTGCAGCCCCGCCTACCAGCAGCACAGCTGCTACTACGACACACAGTACGAGACGTACGAGGGCAGCCCGTGGCTGTACACGTTCTACGTGCCGCAGGACATGGCGGCGCTAGCCGAGGCCTTCGGCGGGCGGGAGGCGCTGGTCGACCGCCTCGAGTACTTCCACACGTCGGGCATCAACTACATGGGCAACGAGCCCAACTTCCTGCCGACCTTCCAGTTCCACTACGGCGCGCGGCCCGGGCGCAGCAGCTACTGGGTGCACCAGTACATCCCGGGGCAGTTCAACGCCAGCATCAACGGCATCCCGGGCAACGACGACTGCGCCATGGGCGCCTTCACGGCCTTCGCCTTCATGGGCTTTTACCCCGTCGCCGGCCAGGACGTCTACCTGCTGACGGCCCCGCTGTTCCGCGAGGTCAGCATCCAGACCCCATCCGGCAGGCCGGCGACCCTGCGCAATATCGGCGGCTTCGACGCGCCTACCTACAACAACATATACATCCAGAGCGCGTGGCTGAACGGCCAGCCGCATAATAAGAGCTGGATTACGCACGACTTCTTCGTCAATGGCGGCACGCTGGACTTTATCCTTGGCTCTACTGAGAGCGAGTGGGGCACTAGGGAAGAGGATCTGCCTCCTAGTTTATCGACGGGGATGCTGGACTGAATGGATGGACGGACGCATGGACGCATTAATGAATGAGTAAAATGAGAGAAATAATGACTATCACGGAAGAGTATTCGAAAAGAGGAGGGATGCAACTTGACCGAGGGTATTTGCTTAGCTTAGTCGTAGCTTAGCAGGATAGGTGCCTACCTAATGTACTTAGGAGGTAGGATAGGGGATCAAACATCACTTAGGTACATAGTTATCTGCCAACCGGAAATTGAATTAGAAATATTCAAAAAGGAGCTCAGTTCCAATAGTTACCTGATAAGAGAAAAGAAATGAGAGACAAAAAAAGAAATGTGCTCTCGGTCGGGGAATTGAACCCCGGTCTCAGGCGGACAATATATCTTGGATAGGGGAAGATTATGACAAGCCTGCATCCTGACCACTAGACGAACCGAGACTGTGGCGTTGCTGTAGTTGAGTGGTTGTTTCTTATGTAGAATGGTTTATATAGGCAAGTGCTAGACATTCTATGTTTGTTGAGCAGGTACGTGTTAGGTAGGGTCTAAGGCGGACGCGCCTACCCGTGATGAGGGCACCCGTGAAGTGGGTACCGCGTACGAAATTCAGAGACCTGGAGTTCCTGACTATAGTCATTTTCATCGCAAACTAGTGGATTGCAGTTCTATTATCGGGAAGCATGACAGACTAAGACTTATCTCATCGTATCTCTAGAATTAATGAGGTATGTATGTACATCTGACTGGTGGTGCTGAGCCTAACCTTAGCCTGCATGTCGTCTCCGAGACTCAAGAAGGGGACGTTGGCGGTTCGAATGAGAGGTTGGGCATGGCGAGGATAGTAAAGTATGCCTATATACAGGTTAACATCAGATAGGAACTTTCGACGTATGGCGAGGGAGTCGAGCCGCCAAGGGATTCATGACATTACACGTGGCCATCCACGCTGATTTATATGTTACGCGGGATCTCGTATCTATGAAATTTCAGTATATAGGTAGGTACCTATAGGACATACTCATCTATCCTAAAGTAGAGAACTGGTATAATACACAGAAAACTGACGGCTTTCGCTAGCCTTGACAGTGTCGGCAACCAAGCTAGATGAGGAGAGTACAAGTCTCATAAGGAAAAAGCTAGAGCCATATCCACTATTGCGGAAATGGTCTCTGCTAGGCGCTACAAGCCTGGCGCTATGCATTCAACTGCACATGGTAGCCATGCTTGCCTCTAACCGAAGTTAGTCGCCATCACTCCCGTCTTCCTGTTCCTCCGCCCCAGCCTCAGCGTCATCAGAATCACTATCGAGATTAGGATCCGGCATGACGACGCTGTTTAGATATGTGACCTTTGCACACCCAAGGGTTAGCTCTCACCAGATGACATTCACATATGGTGAAACCAGTGCTCACAAATTCAACCATGGCCTTGATAACATCCATGACCTTGTCCTGAGCGTCCTCGGCGATGAGCTCCGAGTCATCGAACCGCTTGCCGATGGTGTAGTTGCGCAGCTTCAGGAGCTCGATGTCCCTGTGTTCCGGGTGGAAGCCCTACATCAATCAGCATACCCTTCCTAATCACACGTCTAATACACAGTAGAAAAGGGACACACCTTCGGCTTTGTCTTGAGCGCGTTCTCTTTGTTAGAAGCCGCGAACGCCGCTAGCACGGACCTCTCGTTGTCGGCCTTGGCGTTGGGGAGAAACGTCTTTCGGAAAGTGGGGTTCATCAAGACCCGGCGGATGCGGTGCGGGCGCTCGTCTATGCTTGCGCGCAGGTTGGCTAGAGCGTGGTTGTCGGGATGCCAGAGGCCGCCACCTACCATGCATCGGCCCGGCTCGAGGTGGACATAGTAGCAGGCATAGTTTCCTTTTCGGCCAGTTCGTGACCATGCAGCCGAGAAGTGAGGCTGTATATGCCAGGTGCGTTAGCACAGGCATCCGGATCCAAGGGTTGAGTATTCTGGGCATGGGTAAGGGGCTCACCTTGTACGGGGTGCGATCCTTGCTAAACCGGATGTCTCGATATATTCGAAAGATGACATCCCTAAGCGGCAGCTCCGGGATCGTCTCGTCGGCCTCTATGATCTTCTCCGTGAGGGTCTCCACAAACGATTCCCAGTCCTTGAGCGACCTCCTATATTCTTTATCATTCTCTAAAAAAAAGAAATTATCAGTCAGAGTTAAATAACGTAGAAAAATTTGCATAGTTGAGAGGGATCGATAATGTACTTACCCTTGAGCCAACCCCTCTCGTTGTTAGCCTTGAGATCCTTCAAGAATAGCAGAGTATTCTTATGAAGTCGGGCGTCTTCATAGTCGACACCACCAGTATCCCTTAATTGGACCGCTGAGGTATTTCGCATTAGCAACCATACTTCACCCAAGCCCGTTTATAATAACCACAAGGCAAAGAGTATGCACTTACCAGGGATAAAAGTAATGCGATTCTCATTATAATCGTCGCTGTCTTCCTCATCTTCAGGCTCTTCGGAAGACGTCTTCATTTTAGCCTTAGCCTTAGCTACAGGTTCTACTGCAGCTTTGGTCTTCGCATTGGACTTCTTCGTGACCGCAGGAGATTGAACTTTCTTGGCTGGTCTCCCACGGCCGCGCTTCGGTGTCGGCGGTGCTACTTCTCTTTCAGAACTTTCCACCTCTGATTCATCATCAAACTCATCAGCCTCGGTATCACCGCCGTCCTCGAATGCATTGTCATCATCGTCGTCGTCATCATTATCGTCCTCATGCTGCAATTCGTCCTCCGATTCCGACTTTGCCTTAGAAATTCGGCGGGGTGTTTTTGACTCTGTCTTGGCCACTTTTCGAGGACGCGCCCTCGACAGCTTCTCGCCCCTGTCGCTGTCGTCGTCCTCGAAGTAAGTGCTCTTTCTTCCGCTTGAGCTGAGGCGCCCGGATCTGCGGCGGGAGCTTCCGCCAGTCTCCGGAGTAGCAACAGCAGCATCAGCCGCGGCGCGCTTTCTAGGAGGCATTGCCTGATAAATATTTTCCAAGTTTCTCGAATTGACCTCCTTAGCTTTAAGCGAAAATACGGGGACAGAACAATGGAATGAGAGGTTGACGACGCGTCGAAAAGGATCGCGGGGCTTAGCGAGATACACGCTATCACGTGATAGTCGGATTCCGAAAGCAATTAAATGGCTTTGTAAGCGTCTACCAACCCTGTATCGGACTTCAACGGCCTCCCCCTATTGGGATTATCAGCGATATACACCCATGAGAAGACGATAAGCACGAAAACCAGACCAGAAAAATAGGCACTGATTGATCTCGAGTATAGATAGCTTTGGTCGTGTTCATTATTCTATTAGAGTACGCTTTCAACGCTAAGTTTAGCTAGCAAGGGGATATACTGCTAAGTACTTGAGTAAACGATGACAGGCGTCAGTTAATTACAACCATTATAACTCCTCGCTAAACGTTAATAGCACTATAGCGGTTGCACCCGACTGCCTTCTCGTAGGTATATAAACCCCCACTCCCTGGTCTTCCCCTAAAATATCATATTCCCAGTAGCTTCTTGTTAGGATCTGAGTAATATACCTGAAGCGACGCTCAAATTAGTTGCATATCTGGTGGTATAAGGTTTGATGCTATCGTTGATTAATCAGTAAAGATATCATGGGTATATTTCCGACAGATCGCAGGTTTATCTTCGTTGCAGCAGAGCCATTGTTGAATAGCTGTCTAAAGGACCAATATTAGCAGCTAGCTCCGTATCATGCTTGATAAAAAGACGTCGAGAACTCGGTGTAGCTTTCGGTACGTTGCCATCTGGTGGCTTCGTGAGCAAGGCTCGCAAAAGTCGAGTCAAGTCAGCCCAGTCCTGAATTTGCTCCCATGCGGCCTAACGGTGTTCTGTCCCGTGGCTTTTCTAACAAATCCGCGTATCCTTCTAGACCAGCGCCGATTACTGTTACTATATCGAAAATATGTGAACCCTTGAACGTTTCGGCCCAAAGACGGACCACAGCCACTGCAAGTTGGCGCAACTTTGTCCCGTCATTTGCAGCCATGTCCATAACTGAAGGACCATGTGGTCCACCTCCTGAAAGTGACGGGTCGATTGGCACTGCGAACTCCGTTTCATCGAGCATGTGACGGAGCATTTCGAGAAGGTTTCGTTCATCGGGCTCGGGGGGAGCGCCCGCTGGGCCAATCGACGCAAGAGTCATTAGCCATTTCGAAAGGAGAATGGCGCATTCGAGGTTGCAGACTGGTCCTAGGTTAGACAGTGTGCTCTATTCCAAAATCTTTTGGTATTTCTAGAGTCACTTACGTGAGTGTTGCATGCTCCATTCAGATGACTTTCTCCTAGCCACGTAGTTGACGCCGACCTTAACCAACATCGACAAAGCATGGATAGCTTGAAAGACAGCCCGATTGATGCGTCCACTGCGGACGAGATAAGGAGCATCATGAAATGCCTGGGCAATTTGACTCGCATCTCTAGTCTCGAGAGTTCTACTAGGATTTAAATCGGTGTACAATCGAATCGAGGCTAGCCGCCAGAGCGCAGTCGAATTATAGGCGACTGGGCCGCCCGGAAATGCGTCTGAGCCGTTCTGGTGAACACCTTCTGTTACGCGCGCCTGGTGTTGTTCGAAACTCATCTGCCAAATTCGTAGAGCTTGAAAGCAATCTTCAACATCATCCTGTCGTAGCCCACCAAAGAGCGCTACCGAATTAAACGACGTCTGTTTTAGGAGGAAGATATGTTGTGATATGGCGTGAATGAGGACGTAATTACCAAGGGAGGACATGTAAGCTGGAGGCCCTTGCGGCGGCCGGCTAAATAGTCTCGAGAATGCGTCCTGGATCGATATATCCATGCTCGGGAAAGATTGACGAGCTTCTTGCCACTGCCAGGCCGTATCCGCTCGCCAGAGTTTCGAGGAATGTGGAAGAATAAGATTGAGTTCAGATGTGAGCAATAGAGGCGGCATATTATAGGCGATACTGCATAGGTTGAAGAAACAGTATGTAACGAGCTTTGTGCGGTTGGCCCCTTCTATTCGGACCCACGACTCCCAATCAGCCGTCTGCGTAGATTCCGATAAAAAGCCCTCTTCGCGTACTAAAAGAGCCAGAAGGCTCTGAAGTGATAGGGCTTCGCGAAGAATGGCTTTTGCACCCCAGAGGCCCACAGCGAAGAGCAACAGGAGAGCCTGGATGGTTTCCATGCGAGATTGAGGGGTATTGGGGGAGCTTCAAAGATTGAAAGAGTTAGCAATAGCTCATAAAAGGAGAGATGATAGTTCGACCTGTAGAGTTGGGCGATCTTACTATGGCTCTCGGTGTGTATCTTGAGTCATTGGGCGCTCCTGTTGAACGGAACTGAAAGAATGGCGAAACCCATGGCTTGGCGATGGCCGCGTAGAGTGTGGACTATACGCGGCTGGTGTTGGTAACAAGCC